CCCCACTAAACCGATATGCGCCCAGGAATTTCACGTTGTGGTCACCACGGCGGGTGCCTACGTAAAATTTATCTATTTTTTTATAGAGAATCTTTCGATGATTGTATTGACCGAGATGACACAAGTACTCTACAGAAGCGATGAAGGGTGCTTCGGCTCAGGAGAAGGGTGGGGGACAGTTGAACAATTTTTTACAGGAATTTGGCAACCTCATGATCCCTGTACAAAACTGATGCTACGTAAGGGTTTCCGCTTGAAGGCAGTGACGATTGCTGGGGGCAGGTGGTTGTCGCTAGCGTCATTAGTGGAAGGGCTGAATGGGATGTGGTCAAACGCCCTTGCGCAGTTATTTCACCAATGGCGCTGGCAAGAACCGCCCGCCTCCATTAGTCGTGCCAACTGCATTTAAGTTCGTAGAGGGAAGAGCTTCGGGTCGAGAGAACAGCTTTTCGGGTGAACAGATTTTGCACCACAGTGTTGCCAATTTACACAAAAAGTTCTTCAAATGCCCCCCTCTCCAGAACAGCACCCCAATAAATACCACTAAAACCAAATGAAGTTATTCGCTTCACTACATGGGCGGTCTCTCGACCATGATGGCGTGATGGTCGACCACGGCGGCCAGCATATGACCTTACCGCACTTAAAATTCTGCCGTACCTTGTAAAATAAAGGCCTAAACTCCACGTCGAGAATGTATGTTCGCGCTATTGGACAGGTTTCAGTTCTCTTTATTCGCAATTCACTTCCACCAGCTCATGTTTTAAAGGAAATATAAGGAAAGGGAAGATGCAATAACATTAGATAGTAAAAAAAACCTCTCGTTAGTAACGCCAAACCAAATGAGAAACCAATTGCAAGAAAACTCACGCTAAAAACCCGCATCTCGTGTAAGAAGGAACCAACTCGAACCTGGAAGTGCTTGATACACTCAAAAACAACAGGAGCATCTCGGTCAGTTAGCCACAAAGAAGCGGTTTGAAAAATTAACCGAAATCGGCTCAAACTACAATAAAGTAATTAAAATATGTCAACAGAGCCATGCTTTGAATTTATATCAAAATACAGGCGCTAATAACCATGATGAGGGGCATTTAAAAGACCCCTCGTGCAAACTCAGAAATATTACAACAGAGACAAACAACGTGAACCAGTTCAGGTGCAAAGAATTCTCAAACCTCAGAAAATGACGCCTGAGAATTCACACTCTGACAAAAGGTCTCCTCTGTCATTAAATAACAGGGGTAGAAAATTCAATTTCAGTTAAGTTCGAAAGGAAACTGAAGAGAAGTAAAGAAACCGACTTTTTCAACTGCCCCCCCACCAAATTTAGGCGCTGGGAAGATAGGGAGAACGGGGAACTAAACTTTTCACTTAAGCAGCAGAAAAGGAAAATTCGGAAAGATGAAAAGCAAAACTGCACTTGGACATTTCCGTTGTCTTTCAGCTCGTGGTGAAGTTATGCTCAACCTCGATAACTTCGGAAGCGACCCTGGTCGGAACCCTAGCAGACCAGCCTGGCAAGTGTGAGCATGGTTCCAGCCCTAGCTAGGGTCGGTTTTTTTTGCCCATGAGTCAGCGCTCTTGCAAAAACTTACATATCGCGAAATGTGGAACAAACACCAGTTACCATGGGAAAAGCAACAGAAGAGTACTGATTCTGTACTGTAAAGAACGAAAAAATAAGTTGCTTTTGATGTTAGCCTCAAAAGTTGAAAAACTCGCCGGACAAAAACTACACTTCCATTGGTACCTTGTCGCAAGAGAACTTCTCTAGCGACATCTCTACAAACAGTCACACCTAACATTGACGAGACTTGCTGCTTGATAATACAAGTACTGGGGGTAAGTGATTTTGACAGCATGAAAAATGCAAAAATCACGGATACTATAACTGAAGGCAATAATGTGATATCCTCTGAAATGGCGACGATGTGAGGAGCCGCCTCTGGCCCCAATAGACACACACACGCACATACACGAGAGAGGCAGACATACACCCACAATCGATTTCACGACCATTATGCTTGCGGAGCCACACAAAACATTAATTTATACCATATCATAACAAAACCACTTAATTTATACCACTTCTTCGAACGGACTGCCGCTAATTCGGGAAATGCAACTTAACCACGGAGAAGTGTGATTGTTAAAAGCTCCTTTTTTCCGTCGCCTTACATTTTTTTCGGTCCAAACGCAGCGCACTTAAATAATTGCTAGGAACACCTAAGCGCATAAAACAGTTGGGTCTACTGAAATGCTTTGATTATAGTAGCATTGTGCAGTGATTGGAAAGCAGGGTTGTTAAGAGGAAACAGGCAAGCTGGTCCCTAATGGGCAATACTGATCACAACAGAGAACGTTCGCGAACGTTTCGCGGAATGCTAGCTAATTCGCTTAAATAAATCCGGGAAAAAAGTCATATTCGAGAGGAGATCACGTGCCTAAGCTTCGATAGTCGCTTTAGTAGGAAAAAATAAAAAAGGTGCACAACTTCAACGAGGAACCGGTGGCAGATTATTGAACTACGTAAAGGGAGTGCAACCCGAATCATCCATCAACGCTTACACCTGGGCACAGTTCCGTGTACAACGCAAACTGAACCTTGGTCGCAGAACTGCATCACATTCGCCACCCGAAGGCCCATGTTAACCTGAAGGCTTGTAAACAGGATATAGCTCATTGGGAGAATCTCAATGGACGGGTGAGTGGTACTAGGGCTATATTTGATCGGTGGGCTTTGAAGGAATTTCTCCTGAGCCGCCAGATAAGTTCTTCCCAGTTGTTGGGTCTTCGCGATGTTTCCCGTTTTCGAGTGCTTCCCCTACTTGGAGACGCCGCCCAGCTACCATACGCCTACTGTAACTTGGCAAATTCCTGCTCCGCCGCTCGAAGCAAGTTCCCAAAGGAAAAAATGGTAAATTCCTGCAAAACTGGTAGAGTTGAGGAAATTTGGGAAGATGGTAGGTGGGGGTGGAGAAAGCAGGTCAAACCGGAACAGGACGTCTGGGTGGGGGGCTCGTACTGACACCTCCACTTCACCCTTAGCGATGTTCTACTCCACTTGTAACTATTTGGTGGCTGTTATCTCTACTCGTGACTCCGGACCATATGAACCTGGACGACGCTGCTTGCCCCAACCGCGATGTTGGGCTCGATTCAGCGAACTGACTTATTTCGTGATCACATAGGTGTTCTACTTTTGACCTCCCAGTCTTGAGCAGCGCGTATCATGTGATTGTATGGCGCATCCAGTTACAGGCTGAGATATAAGGAACTTTGGGCCATAAGGAAGCCTCCAGCGTCGTTGTCACGTACTCTTGATTGAAGGATGGAAGGTGATACGCTCATACAACTTGTACATAAAACGGATCTAACTTCCAAGTGATCGAAGAGTGTGTCTTTAAAAAGCAATCCTTCGGATAAGAATGCCTTTTTGGCAATTACTGAAGCGAAAAGTAGCGCAATAAATTAGCACATGACAAGGACAACAAGGACAACCAGGAGGGAGACGATCCAGGATTTGATCCCCGGACTGCGCGGGTAGTGACCGTATCACTACACTACCTCCGCCCATTTAGTGGAGAAATGAGTTCTAATAAACTACACAAATAGCAATAGCTACAAAAGCAGACCTCATATTTGCTTACGTAATCAAATTTTTTTCGGCCAGAGCTGTCTATATCTCATGAGAAGCTACTAGAGATGCCTGACATTGGCTAGCTTGATTAATCCAGGATATACATTGTAACAGGTTCCCTACGGAATCAAAGACTTCACTGCCGAATCCGCGACGACTCGTTTTCGTGGGACTTTTTTTCATGTTCCTTCCATTAACTGTTCGCGCATATACAACAAGCTTGCAGAGTAAGCAAGCCCTCTCAGGACGCGCCACGCATTCTACTCCCATCCAGAACCGCAAGGGCATTTTGAATGCGATTTGACCTATAAAACAGTTTGTAGGCTTAGGCCGGTGCAGTGTTTTCTAGTTTCCTAGACGAGCCACGTGACGAAATACCGGCAAACGAAGTACGAAAGGCTTAGTCACGAGAGCTGATGATCCGGAGACCTCCCATGTCGCGCGCGTGCTAAGCGGCACTTACCACTATACCACCTACACCTCACAACTACAAATAGTTTGAGAACTGCAAAAACGTCCGTCACGCTGGTGACTGTCTTCCTTGTTAGACAAATTAGAGGGAGATTGGTACGGATCCCGAAATGTAACATAATAGAATCGAATTAGAATAGAATAGAAAACCAGTTCCAAGATTAGACTGCGTTCCAGTGCACCATTCAGAGAAACGGGAAAACAGTAAAAGATAATAAGTTTGTGTCAGATGGTACCACTTGGAATTCGACTGATAACAGAAGCTGGCTCATAAACTTGGGAGGAGACTGACCTGGAAAAACAAATGACGGGGCAAGGAAAGAAGTGAGTATCTAGACATTTCTACAATAAGGGTTCTCAAGCTCGAACTTCGAAGCTCAGAATCAAGAACTACAAAGCAGCGCTAAAAGACGCTTCTCGGTGCTTGGCTTGACTTAATGCAACCACTTGGAACATCTGTAGCAGAGGGTGGACTACTCCATCCCGAAGCTTGAAACTCAAATGTTCGCCAAAAAGTACTGCGAACAAATTGCAAATAGGACACCTATAAACTGTTCAGAACCATTCGAATTTAGGGGCGACTATTTGAGCGATTCAATATAGGCACTTCGGAGCTGTTGTGGATTCTCGCCTAACCTGCACTTTTTTGCCAGACTGGAACATATCTCGCCAGGCTTTTCTAGGGGCATGTATCTCTTTGCAATGTCTTCTTTTTTGGTTCTTATCAATGAGAAATGCTTCAGAACTAAGTTAGAAGACTGACATACACAAAAAGTCTCAAAAAAGCAGCTGCTGTGCACAGAAATTTTTCGCGCGCTTTGTCACGTAGGCCGCGAGCATGCCGATAAATGGGCCTTATTCCGTAAGAAAAGTAGGATAACTTTTGTCAAGCTGATTCCTCGTCTGCAACACCGTTCTTCTATAACAATTTGGCACAAGGAATGGCCATTTTGAAGTTACAAAAGATTAATAAGTTTTTTCGAAAAAAAAAATGCTACTCGTATGTCAATATATCGATAAAATGGCTACCATTGTCCTCCGAGTTCGAAACCAGAGGCGCGCCGCAGCTAGATCGGCTCTAAATCTTTCCAAGCTTTTTAACCTTGCCCGCTTGAAAAGTGTTGTCTAAGGGATATAAAGCACACAACAGCTACGGAATTCAAAGCTTTCGATAATGTTACGGGCAGCTGCACGAGTAACACGGCTTTTTGCAATAGAAGTGAGCCATAAAGCCGAGTTTCATGAGCATACAGAGAAAGAATAAAAGAAAAATTTAGTATTGCAGTGATTAGTTTTCGGTTTCCCTATAATTCCCAGAACACCCTGACTGCTTTTGGACATTTTTCGTAATTCTTTCTTTGTCTTACCTCATTCCATCGTAATACACACTACCAATATCTGTCACATACCGCCAACGCATGAGAGGTTACTCGATGTTCCCCTAACGGACATCCAGAGACTTATAGAAAAATTGGATGTCAGTCTGCGGATCTTCTGGTCAGCGCAAAAATTCGAAGGAAGGTAAGGTAGTAGAGAGTGGATGGCAGATGATAATTTATTTGAGCGTAGTCAGGGTTACACGGCGGAAGCACATTTATCCACCCAGGAGTCTCCAATTTTTCCAGTGTTTCAACCGAGACGTAGAGTTCCCAAAACATACCTTCTATCGCACTCCACCAACAACTGCAGGTCCTTCGCTTGGTAATGGCTCGGTTCCTGTAGAAAGTCCGGACGGCGCTGGACAGAGCTGCTACCTCTTATAAAGCTGGTGGACACACAGCCGCAGTTTTCATTGCCGTTGGCCATGTCAGACTCAGTTGTAGGTTCTATGATAATCAAGAGGTACATAACGATTCAATCGTATTTGGGGTTGATACGGGATCAACACATGCGGAATCAAAACACCAAATTTCCAGATCCTGTTTGGACCAGGGGATGCAGCAGCAGTGCTGTCGAATGTTCAATCAATGATGATCTACCAAATGACAAATATCGTGGCGGAGATCCCTTTTAACGCAGAGAATCGGAACCAATGGTAGCGGAGAAGTCAATATGTGGATCATCATCGAAATAACGAATGTCTCTCTGGAACAGACTTATCGGTGGGGCGCTACATGCTGAGAGAGCATCGCTTTCTCACAACAGCTTGTACAGTACATTGTCCAGGCCATCCTGACTTGTGAGGCACTTGTGAGAAATGAAACTCTCGAAGAGCGGCCACCAGAAATAAAGTGTCAACCATAGGAGTAGTGACAAATGATCTTGATCGCTGACCGAGACCGCAGGAATATAATACATGTCTCTAGATATTTGAGATCTCAAGATTTAGCTTCCAATAAAACCGCTGAACACAGGCGGCCTTAACATATCGCGATCCTACTTGAAAGTCGCTGTAAGAGTAAACTGCAGATCTGGGGAGAGCAGCAAGGTGTGTCAAGAAAAATATGTAGTGTACAAGGTGGTGTGCCTTTCGTGTCATGAATTTTACATTGAAGAAACATCAAGGCCACTACACAAGAGAATGGAGGAACACATAAGAGCTCTGCGTAGTCCACAGAACTACGCTGATAATCCATTCTCGCGACATCGTACACTACGGCATGATCAGGAAAGACCGCCCGAACTTTGAGTCTCCATTTTGCACAGAAATGTGGTTGATCCTGTCGATAGAAGAATAAGAGAAGCGTTAGAAATTAAGCAGCTGAACCCACCGATCAACAAGGAGGAGATGAGAGTGGCATGAGTCTGATATCACTGTAGGACGTGCACTAGGAAGGAAAACGTGACATTTCCTAGATCACCCTTGGTCCTACATGTGTATATATACCCAGAACCCTGCCACTTTCCCATTTTTGCCTATATCCGCATAAGAAGTCTAGGCACCCCCCACCTCTCCCTTCCGGACAACTCGCTGTAGGTTGCTGCTCTTTCTATGATGACTGTTGCTGCCGTATTATTGTGCGTGTGTAAGATCTTTCTTGTTTGTATAATTCAGTGACCTGAAGAAGGGCTTAGGCCCGAAACGTTGTCAATAAAAATTTTTGGAAGAAAAGAAGAGCTTCTCACTCCTATACATAAGAACAAATTTCTATAGCGATGAACACAGAGTCCCGGAAGTTATAGGACAAACTTATGTAAAAAAAAAAAAAAAATGAGCATGCACTACCCAATTTTAGATGTGAAATGACAACGCCAAACAGCGCGCCAATGTTGTATCGACTCCAACGACGTGAAGAAAAATATGCAGAAGAAAATAACCAAATTCTATGTAACGCAGAAACCGCTGCAGAACTGTTTACCTTAGTGATTGCCGCCGGCTTTTCATCTACATCCTTTGTTGCCTTTTGTGAAATCTTAGGCGCGGATTTCTTCTTAGCGACTTGCCTCGTCGAATCTGAACATACCCAAGCGTCGCTAAATCTACAGCATTTAACCTTAGTTGCAAATCGGGTGAACAATTACTGGTAAAAAAGAAATGGACAATAGGAAGAGAAAGAAACAAAAAAAGAATCATGCGACTTTCAGAAACCAAATGGGGAGCGGAAGAAGGAAAGATTTCATACCAATAAAGTCAAGATGCAGGAAGAGAGTGAAATTTCAAGCACAAGCGGAAGACAAAGTGAAAATTGCCATAAAACGTACCTTCAGGAGTTTGGTACTTTTCCATAGGAGGGACGGAGATATCAATAGCACCACTGATTTCTTCATTGTCATCAAGCATTTCTTCTGAATCCTTCGCATATCTCTCTGCATCGCCCTTTACCATTTCGGTCAGTTCCTCGGTAGATTCGACAGTCGAATCTTTAGCAGACACCTCTCCTAACACCTGCTCAGACTTGTTTTTTCCTTCAGGAGATTTTTTCCCGCACTCCCGCAGTTTCTCGTCGTCAGGCTTTCTTTTCTGAGGGGTTCCCCTTTCAGTAGTATCCGTTGCAGTCGCAGCTTCCACCACAGGTATCACATCTTTTTGTAAGAGTTCCGATACAGCTTTTCCAGTGGGAGATTTCAACAGTGGGGACTTCACAGAGCTTCTAGGAGATGATGTCTCTGTATTATTGCCAACCTCCATAGGTGACTGCATGGATAACTCTTGTTGCAATGCTTCGGAATTTTCATCACCTGCTGACTGCTTCTTGGGAGTTTTCTGAGGTGACTTCTCAATGTCAACCTTTTCAGGCGATGAGATTATGTCAGCAATTCCTTGAGCCAAGGAAGAAATCTCTTCCACTGGTAATTCTTCGATAGCAGCTGACTGCGCAGGAGATTTCTTCTGAGGCGAGCCCTCAGGCTTTCTAGGAGAGGGAACTTCTGCGACAGTAGGGCGTTTCTCAGGTGACTTTGTAGCCAATACAGAATCTTTGAGCTCTTTCGGAGATTCTGCAACTGCTAGACTGATGGCTTCTGCGGCTTGCGACGATGCCTTCTTCTCGCTCCAAGCCACTGTCCTCGGCTTGTTCTAATGACTTCTTTGGAGAATCTCTGGTATTCGCATCTTCACACCTTGGGGATGGAACCTTCACTCCCTCAACGGTGGCGCCCGTTTTAGGCGATTTACTAGGAGCGATAGATTCACCATGAGACTGGACAGAAGGATCCTCAACTTCGACTTCTTCACGTTGCTCAGGTACGACTTCTAGCGCTGTTACCTCCTTAGGGGTAGTCACACCAGCCTTTCTCATTGCCCGTGTTATACGAGCAGGGGATGGCGACACCTGAATAAAATCAGCAATAAAAAGTTGGAATTTTTCAGAAGCGAGCTATAACTACACGTTCACAAGGTGTTCATATCAGAATTTCGCGGGATCCGCGTTTCCGTCATGTAAGCGGAACCCCGTCGTATTGATCAGATGAAACCGCATATTCCACTGAATCCAAAGAAATGCCCAGAGGGCGGGACTGAGCAATCAATTTCTGCCAAGACTTCTTCGGCGATTCTGCCAAGTCGAGAATTAGGCGGAATCTGCGGATTCTTCAAATCGATACGCATACATTCTGTCACGCAGATTTTGGCTGAATCTTTGTGTATGAACTAGGTCAGCTCAAGAAACACCGTACCAGACTCGATGAAGCCGAACGTCTGCGACCTCTAGCTGGTGTTGAAGCGCTCTTCCCACTCGGGGTCCCTTCTACCAGTGAAGAAGAGGCCTGAAAGCTAATAGATAGATATCGGGGAAAAAAGGGTCTCTTCACCACCAGTACTACGAGTTTTATGCTGCGTCACAATAATGACTACAGCTTCCAAAACTGCCCAGGACCTAAACCCTTCTCCCGCTGAATTTTCCAAGACTTAAAACTAGTTAAACTCAGAAAAGCACAAAATTTTTACAAGTTGATAGAAAATATTTCCACCTATGACCCAACTTATAACACAGGTCTGGCATGGATAATACACTTCTTGTGGACGTGAAGGGAAAACATTCTCAATGACCACAACGGAATGGGATGTTTTCTAGGCAGGAATGGGAGGAAAGAACATCTGAGAAACCCAAAACGAACTACTACTCACTGTTTGCTGCTCAGTGCTGCCAGCAGAACCTTCAGAGCTGATACTAACGTTGCTACCATCGTCAGAGTGCTGTTCACTCATTGATGATCGCTGAAATGATTTCATGAGGATATCGATTGTAAACAGGCAGTGCCATTGTCGATAACTTGTAGTGGGCACGACGGAGAAAATTGAAAGTTTCGGCACTCACCTTCCTTCGAGTTCTTCTACTCGGTGTTGTTAACGGTGTAATTCCTAAACGAGTTGTTCCTCAAATGAAAGAGTCTGCATGTAATATAATTTTATGGTAACGATTGTGGTACAAATGCATTCCATTCAAATAAATTAAAAAACAGATGTCATCCCCGAATAGCAGAAGTAAGGGGATAGATCCACTTTTCTCCGAAAGACGGACGAGAAAATCGTAATTAGCCGTGCCATCGCGCGTGGCGCACCGTGCGGTAATTTCTAGATATGCACCATTTTGTCGATTGAGGCAGCAAAAATGACAGCCTCTTCAACATTTGGATTCAAACGGCAGGGAGAGACAACTCTTCCGTCACGCGATGTCGCTTGCCACGTCCAGCGCGGTATCTGTTGCTTATCCTGGGAGCTTCTTTTCCCTTACATATACTCCACTTGCACCTTATCAGCTCGGCCTCGTCTCGATAATTGGTAAATTTGTTGAACTTGACTATTTCTTGTCTCAGGGCGCGCTACTGTGGGGTAAACTGAAATACTCAATAGGAAGTAGAAATGCTCTCACCTGCACTTTCCCTTGCTTGTTCACCGGCGGCGCCTAGACTGTGTTGGCCCTCGTTCCTAAAGGAAAATTCATCTGAAGGCGGCTAAAAATGAAGGACATGCTAATTTGGAAAAGCCCTACATTTCTAGTGGTGCTGACTGTGATCGAGGCGGACGTGACGAGGCTGGTTTTCGCGACGATGAAGGAGCAGGAGCCTGAAGAAAGTCAATTCTCAGTATTTAACTCACTCCGCATTGAAACGACGTATCCTAACACGTTCTTGTCTATTTGGCGTTTTTTTTCTCATTTTCATTGTACAAAGCAAACAAAACAATGTTGAAAACAACTGAAATTAATTTCTATCTGAGCACTGACTTGGAGATTAAAACTCAGGTGGAAATGAATGAATGTATTTAGAAGAACCGCAAGAAGCTAATGGAGACATTTGAGAGGAAAATAGCAAAAAAGACTCCCTCACATCCTTACCGCCGTGAGAGTTCGTGTCCTACCAGGGAAATCTTAGCTGAAGCTTGGAACTTGACTAAACATGTTAAAATATGCTATAATAAAACTGGTACTTACCCACTAGCCCGGGCGACAACTTATAGGTTATGCGAGAAGCATTATGGCAACAGAGTCGTAGATTTGCGCGTGCTTTGTGCACCTTACACAAAAGTCGAATCGCGCCGGGTTGTCAGCCGAATACACGGGACTTTGGAAGTCGGAACCTGCATAGGAACGAAGTTTCCCTACTTCTCCACTTGGGAACGAAGTAATCTTCCAAGTGATCGAGCACAGTATACTAACGTATAAGGGGGGGGGGGGAGGAGAGCGCAGGGGACTACAAGGACGCGAAGCCTTGTCTGTTCTTCTGCTCGCTTGTTGAAAACTTCTGTAAATCAATCCTGGATAAATTTCTCAACGGAGCCTTCACTGGCCTGAGATGGTAAGGAACCCCGGCTAGATGGGTAGCAAAAAAAGCTCTTCGAGCCATTTCAATCGCATGACAACGACGATTCGGTCAAAACGTCGAACAATAGCTTGACTAATAAGAATTTACCCACGGGAGTTTGAGGTTAAGGGTTTAGGGTAATAGAAACGACCTTACCTCTACAAGTACTTTCTGTGACGTAGCTTCCGATGATGAACAATCTTCATGCTTCGATGAAGACCGAGTTAATACCATCCCCTATAACACGCATGTTATAGAACGAATATAAAGAAGTAAATACAACTAAATATCAATCAAGACTAATAAAAAATAGATTGGACACGCCGAGGAGGGGAAAGGAAGATTAAGTCTAGCGAAAGGTTCAAAAGGCATTGCTACCAGCGATACACCAATTAACAGCGGTCACACCCGCCCGACTAAATTACAAGTCGATTTGGCGCATCGTTGCTGACAGTCCACGACCGCATTGTTCGGAACAAATTTTCTAAAACAAGATAACCTTATTCTGAACCGGCTCTTCAATAGGCAAGAAAAAAAGCAACACGAGCATCTGTATATTAAGTTAATAACCTTGAGGGGGGCATTTGAAGGACATCCTGTGCACGACCGAGATTACCGTCATTCGAACAAAAGTGCCGTCATACTAATTGTTTCACCAACCCCGGAGCCCCTCCTTCTCTCGTTGTCGGACAAAGGTAGACATCTCCATTGCGAGTTTTGCACAGCACAAGATCGCTCCAAATGCTCCGTAAAGCTGCTTTCATACTTTAAATTGGCGAAATGGAGAATTGACAAAGTGAAAGATGCGTATCGATCTGAAGAGTTACAGAAATAGATCGATGTGTTTATAAACGTTTTCATCAACTCTGCAATTCTTCAACTCATCAGTTCTTCCTTTCGGCTGGGGTGAAAGCAGTCTAGCATTATTGGAGCTCAAAAATACGACCCTCCTTTCTTCACAGAGCCTTCAAGTCGGGATACAGACCTTCGACCTACTACCAACTACAGTAATTAGAAAAAGAAACGGGCAGGTAGAAAAACCCCCAGAAAGAACAATAGTTTTTTCATCCTCAACCTCGCACTTTGCCAAGCCCGGCAACGCCCTCATACAGACCATTCTTTTGACTAAAAAAACCCCCGACCAAAACCACATTTTAATTCCGCCCTCCACTCGGTGGGTCATGTCACCAAGCAATGACCGAGAGTGCGACCAGCGTAAAAAGGTCATACTTTGGCAACAGCTTTTTGAAGCGGCTAGTAAAAATATGCAGGTCGATTAAACGTTTTGAGCGTACACCAGCGTTTTAGGCCTTCTGCGGGTGGTTCTGGGTTTCTCGCGTATAGTCGCTGAAAATTCTGGCGTACACTGGATCGATGCCTATGATTTCCTAATCACTCAGGACGTTGCCCCAAAGCGCTGCCGCGCGCTAAAAACGCTGACGCAATGTATGAAGCAGCCGGAGAAACAGCAAAGAATCAGCAGTGGAACAAAACGGTATAACACAACCCTGTCCCCTTCCAAAAGGTAAACACAACCCCTCTTGAGGATTTCCTAACGACGAGCTCAATGCATGCTCAAGAATGGAGCGTGTAAGCTAGAGCTAACGCTCCCATTGCCGCTGACGAGACGCTCATTTCCGTTATTGCCACTACGATTGAGACCTCTAAATTTGCAGATGGATGATTGCGACCTCAGTGGCGACACTGTCTAACTTGACGACCGAATTTGAGAGATCATTCGTTCGGCATACTTGACTTCTTGTAGCTTCAAAGCGGCGTAGGCGAGCATATGCAGTCAGCATAATAATTATGAAGCGCTTGTGAGACTCAATGAACCCTCTAGTACCCCATCGTGGAAATTGCTGAAATAATCAGCCCTAAAAACACATAAAGGGACACCAATGACTTGAAACTCCTAGATTCCGGCTAGTGAGCAAGCCCCAGTGATGTGCCAACCAGACGTGCTCGCTGCGAGGGTCCAGGGGTATTTTCACGAATCATCTACCAGTCCAGTAGTTGGAGGGAGAAAGGTAAAGGAGGAGGGATCAGAGAAGGAAGGAAGGAAAAGAAGGAAGGAGGAAGAAAAAATGAAAGAGAGGAGAGGCTTCCCGGGGTGACAAGTGCCCTGAGGCCGCCAACATCTCCCTCCTTCCCCTCCCATTTGGAGAAGAGCATTTTGTTAATAGAAATGGTCGCGAACCCACCCAGTAGAGCTGAACGCACGAAATTCTCACGTCACCTCGTGACAAAGTGCGAGAAAGTGCTCCTCTTAGAACCGCGTTGCAGGGCCCTGCGAGCGGCAGTAATTGGCATGGTGCCATTTCAATTTTTTTTCATGTCGATCGAGTAGTTGATGTCCTTATCGAGTACGGTAACCGTGTATTCTTCTGAAAACGTCCTCTGAAGGCTTCCTTAATTCTCTTAGTTTCGTTGGGTTTCTAGCGTCTGTTTGTCGTTGTTTGGGCTTTGCTTTCATATTTTTTGTTTAACCTCATTAAATTCGCGTGCATATCTGCTTCGCAGCTCACGGGATTCAGAACTTTTGCTTTGTTAAGTGTTGGCTCAGATGTGGTTACATTATGGAACGTGAAATTACCATCGTAGCAATTAACATGGGGTGATCGCTGGATTAGTTTTTGTAATACTTGTTTACATTTTATCGCTAGTCTTTACGCCTCGTAGAACATGCTCGGGACTGCTCTGCTTTCCTTGCCAATTATTTTTGCCCGCTTTACTTACCTGTGGTTACTATATCAATCATAGTTTACCACATAGAAATGTCTGCAGTTTTCTTGTGAAAAAGATTGATTCGGCAGCTGCATGGCGCACTATTTCTGTGAAGTTTTCCTGTGGCTCGCTTGCGCTCCCTAATATTTCATGTACAGTGCTTTGTGATTTGTTCAGGTATGTACTCAGCAAATCGAACACATCGTGCGGAAACGAGAAATCGTACTAAAGATGAGTTGCGGAAGGTGATTAGTTCCATAGAAAAAGTGCGGAAATGGGAGAAGAAATGGGTACTGATCAAGGACACAGCTATCAAAATACAGAAATGGGTCCCCGGTATGTGAGATTTTCTTCTTTCTCATTTCTTTTACCTTTTCAACTGTAAGGCTGTGTTCATAATTTGCTCAGCGATTTGGGAGACTATGACAGTGTGGGTATCGATCTAGCGTTTTGAGCGTACCCCAGCGTTTCCAGCGACTACCCATGAAAAATTCAAAGATGCCCAGAAACGCTCATAAGGCTGCAGTGTAGCTATCGATCTAGCGTGCTTGCGCACGTTAGATCTCGCACTACGACTACACTTCTCTAGTCGCTCCAGACCCCGCCGTACGCCACAGCGCTGACCAGACTATGAACGCAGTCTAAGATGGAGTCTGCTTTTCGATGGTGGGGAGGATCGTTTTTGGTTTTGGTTACGGTTTCTCTCCTTGTACTGATCTCTACAATGACATTACCACTAAATTTTTTTATGTCCATCCAAAAAAACCATCGGAAGATTTCGTTCTATAGCATAATCAAGGACGAGGGGTGAGCTGTCGGTCCCACTTGTCCTCCCCAGTGTCCAAATATCCCTGAATTATGGATATTGTATTGCTTTTGACTATACCAGGGCAGCCTTTCTTTTCCTAGTGTTAATTCCTCGCGTCCAGTGTGTAGTTCAACACGTTCTTGTTGCGGCAGGAATAGCGAAGGAAACGTTGCTTCATACTCTGCATCAGCTTTTGAGGGTACGGCAGCGTCTTGAGCCGCTGAGCAAGTATAGTTATTGATCTTGCGTCTTAAGCATACGCTAGTGTTTTGGGCGTTTTTGCGAATAGTTTTAGTATTTAGCTGCAAACGCTGACGCGCAACAAAACGCTGGATCGATATCTATACTTTCCTAGTCGCGCAAAACGCTGCTGTAAGCTGCAACGCAACGTAAGATGAGTTTGGCCCAAAACAGGGCCTAAGTTATTCAAAGTGGTGATACTGCAGTGTGAGAGCAGAAGAGATCTGCTAGTTCGTGCGCGATACCGCTACTAGGACGTCCTGAATCCCAGCTGTAGCCGCGAAGTCCGCTGATCGAAGCGGCTCTTTTCTTTGAATTGTTGCTGTGCGGGGTTTTACTCCAGCTAAACCTTTGCCTTTTTGAGGCCCTCACCTAAGTCTAAGGCCTTCCATACTTCTGTGGCTTGTTAAACGGTACCAGATCCATCTGGATGGATAAAAATCTTAACTGCTTCATCGGCTGGCCCTTGGAACTCATTTGCAAACCATATAGAGTTCGACTACTATTCTGACTGGAAGCAGAATACGTGCCGCAGGTCAAACCCGGTGACTTGTACATCGAATGGCTCAGCATGCATTGTATAGGCCATATCGCAATCAATAGATCTTCTATGCTTTAGAAACGTGGAGTGCGTAGCGCATCCCAAAAGCAATGACGACGCCCAGAAACTCTCAACAAGCCAGCGCATTCGGCGAAGGGAGGGGGCGTTAGCCACTTTCAATGGCACTCACTGCTCGGTTACCATGCTCGAGTCCTGCCTAGAACTGCTGACCTTTTTGAAAGTCTGGGCAATCATGCTTGCTCATCATGCTATTCTATCGTAAAACGTGTTACTCAAGAATAGCTATTTAGTTGGGTCAACACATCAATGAGGAACAGAACAAATACCCTCCTCCCCCATCGCCAAACTGCGCCCTCTCACAATTTGTTCGTGAGCCTCAACACCTTAATTCTCAGTCGATTCTGTTATAGTGACAGCACAAATGAATATTCCACCCCCTAAGATCGCAAAGCCTGCTATAGATGAAGATACGAGCAATACTATACAATCTACAGAAGATGTTTCCCAAGGTACGTCCTACCCACAAAGAGCTAGAGCCGTTCGTGGACAGCGTTCTTCATTCGCATTCAATGCTCAGTATTTCCAAAGTGGTCTTCAGATTCGGCCACAGCAGGAAATGCTCCTCGACTGACTCGATTTGGTGCCAATATCAACGATGATTCAAATACAGGATTCTCCGAAGCTGCCTTTGATTCTGATTCCAATCAAACATTTGAACCACAAAACTATCAGCCAAGTACTGAACACGGTTCAACGGATTTCAGTGCTATGCGTGATGCTGAAATGGGTCATTAGTGACTTCAAACGTCGTTTTGCCTTTGATCTCTTGTATTATTTTAATAGTGCTCGTTTTATGTACAGCATTCGTTTATTTCATAATAATTAACAATGAATATAACAGTGGCAAGAAATCGATATGTACATAAAGAAAGAGAGAAAACTCTGAAGAACAGTTAACAAAGTGATAGATGATGCTTTCAGCAGTGGCAGGAAGGGCAAAAAAGAGATTTAAAAACAAGAAAGATCCCAACAAGTATCAAATAAAGTGTTCGGGCTCAGGGGGTTCGGAAATAAGGGATATCTACACTAGGCGTTGCGCTGGGCAAACTTTCAGACTGCGTCCACAGTTCGCGACTGGCGATTCAATCGTTTATTTCGAGCGACTATAGCTGCTGAAGATGCTCCACTGCTAATGGTTGGACCGTTGCAACGCCTGCTGCAATCACGGCCTTCATGGGTGTTGTATTTGAAGTTATATTTACATAGTATAATACAAGTAATCGAAAATGTCTCATTCCATATGTTACTGAAGTAGCCGTTGCAGTCGTCCAAGTATTAGCAGTAGGGCGCCCTCGGTCGTAGTAGCTTTATGTGAGTGACTAGATCGCTCGAGTCACGGAGTATGAACGCATTCCTTGAAGGCGTACACAAAAAGGTCACACATCGGTCGCATCGTTGATTTACATCTCATCAGATACCTAGCAAGGCAGTTTACTCTTGTGAAAACCGATTTGTTTGGTTCTGCAGTATTTCAGTAATTGTGCAAAGCAGGACACGTAAGCAAGCCATATAACCCGTATTCCTAGGTAGCCAAGTCTGCAGAGAAGAGCTGCGAGCGGTCGCGGCGCGTCGTGGTCGATACATCAGTCCGCATAATCGTCCATAAATATTAGTAAACACAGGGGTACGAGTAATCGCAGGATATGAAAAAATGTTAATGAAAGGCGGGTCATCAAGCTCTTACCTCCTCGGACCCGGTGCTTATAAAAGGACCCGAATGAAGTTGATGAGGAGCGTTGGATAAAATTCGTTAATTAATTAGCATATTTTGGGAATTAAAAGGAAAGGCTTTGACATGGGGATGGCAGTGTGAGAAAGGCAGTGTCACGAAGGAAAGTGCAGGAAGATCACGAATGTTAAAAAGGAGCTAAAAATGATGGATATAGCTGAATTGGTCTGCGCAGCCGCTAAACGCATGGACTCATTCTGTTTCGTACAGTACGACCAGTACTTGGAGATCAAAACTGGATATCCATCGGCTACCGGTAATCGATAATCGCTTGTGTTCATCCTATAAACCAGATCGCTTGCCATGAAGTGCAGCTCTGAAAAAGGAATAGTTTTTCTTTGCCAAGTGAATGAAAGGCAATCCATTCCTCATGGAACAGGGAAAGGGTCAGCCGGCTGCAAGAAGTCGCGTTACGGATATCCTGGCTAATATCATGTCAGTAATATGTATAAAAAAAGTGAATAGGACAAGACATCATGGGTTTTGGATTTTGATCGACCTCCCCCCCCCCTTTTTAGGAGGTTGGTGCTACGGCTGTCCAGTGCGGGGGGGGGGAGCGACCCCTTCTCTAGCATTTCTTTCTTGAATTGTTCCTAACCCTGCCTTACACCTTCTTCAAAGATTCCCGAGAACTTTTCCACTTTTCCCCAAAAACTTTGCGTCCAGCGAAGGATATACAGTACACTGAAACAAGAAAAATCACGAAATGTCAGGCAAGCTTCTCCAGAAGCTCAGGAGGAAAATACCACTCCTCACTTTACAAGGTCCGTAAAAAAAGAATAATCAGTTATCAAAACAAATTTTTCCCGGCAAATACGACCTCCCTCCACTCCCAGCGACAAAGTACGACCCTCCCCTGTTGGGCGATCCCCAACAACGATGTGCTCTGTGTGTCGAGAAGGGAGGGGGGTATTTGTACCGCGAAAATACGACCCCTTCCTTCCTCTCACCTAATACATTCCTAGTTTTTCCCAGCTTGCCTTAAAGGCAGTTGGCACGATGGTTTTCTACTTAGCCCAAAATGCTAGTAGAGCGCTGTCTAGTG